GTGCTGTGAACGCCATGGTGTGAATACTGGTTACTGACCTGGGCATCTTTAGAAAGTCAGTTTTGAAACAGGTTTTTCAGGGACTTTTTGTTGCCCTTACCAAAGGTCTCTGCTACAGCTTTGCACTAGATAACCTGGTTAAAATAGTAACTATCTTCTCTGGAGCGTAATGCAGGATCGCTCCAGACTGTGCCAAGCTAAGGGAGTGTCAGTGATCCTGCTGTAGTTCACCCTTCGGAAGTGCTGGGGAATAGATGAGGCTGTCTTAATAGTGGGTCTCTGCAGCTGAAAGCAGAGCTGTGTAAAGAAATGCTGTAGAAGATGTCCTTCAGATGCAATCTGCTGAAATAACTTGATTTTAGTGTTTTGGTTTTTTTTTCTCTTTCCCCACCTCTGATTGAGGAGATTGTACCTACATCACTGAGGTTGTGTTACTTTCCTCCCCAAAAGACTCACTGCTGGCGTGTCAGGGCCCCTTCGAGGGCTACTTTTCAATCCGTCGCACTGAAATGAATCTGAGCTGGGAGTTGGCTTGCTGACCTCTTTAAAATGGTGTTATCTTTGTTGTGCCTCATCAGATCGAGATGCTGCTTCAGTGATGTGCTCCTGCATGCAGTGGTGAACCAGCGAGGAGGATGTGGGTAACTGTCTGCTGCAAGCAGGCAGGAGGATTAGTTCTGCTTGAAGGGTCTGACACAGATCCACATCTCTGAGAGAGGGGACAGTGAGCATGTGGGTTGGGCATCAAAAATAGGAAAGCTTGCCCTCCCCCTTAGTGTAGATGAGGAGGAGGAAATCTGAATAAGAAGCTCTTTGTGTATGCTTATCTATATACTGTCTGATTTAGCCTGAGGTTTTCCCACATCTGCTCCCGTGCATGAAACATCAGACTGAGACACACTGCTCTACTGAAATGTTTGACTTAGAAAGCTATTTTTTCTTGCCGCTACCCTCCCAGTGAGCCTGTGGCCTTTTTATGATGTTTCGTACTTTTAATTGTCTTACATGTGACTACTGCCATAAAGTAAGGGTGAAGCATCTGCTTTTCTAAATGTTTCAGCAAGGCTAAACTGTTTCAGCGGGTTGTGTATTTGAAGCATGATACCCAGTTGGGTGCAACTCAGCTTTGAGTCTGTAAATAGAAGTTTTAATCTCTGTTCTGGTGTTTCATTAGCTAGGTTTTCATGTGGGAGAGAGGCCCATGGTAGCCCAAGATAGCATGGGTCATATACGTGGCCTTTTTCTGGAAGTGTTTGCTTTAGCTAACTTGCATTCATAGTGAGCTTTGTGGCTTTCTGTAACAGTGCTACTCTGTCCAGGGCACTAGTCAGTAAACATCTCTTCTCTAAAATCTGTTCATCGTGTGTTCCTCCGCCTGGCTCTAGAGCTGCAGTAAGGCTGTGTGTGAGATCTGAACCCAAAGAGGCCTTGGTGGCTTCACCAAGCACACTGCTACTCCTGTAAAAGTAGGTAAACTGGTGGATCGCTGCTGTGCATCATTCCTGTTACTTGGATTCATACCACGCTATGGTGAAACATCTAATTGCTCTTTTTCTGGTAAATCTCTTAAAGGGTCGGATGGTGGCTGGGGGATGCAGTAAATGATCCCTTCTGGCTGGTCAAGGAGCTGGAGGTAGATGAGCAGCTCCAGGGTTGGAAGACCCTGAGAAGCACTTTCTGGAGCTCCACTTTTCACAAAAGCTGCCGCAGGATTGCATTGGTTTATTCTAAGGAGGTGTATTTAGGTCTGGAAGAGTAATTACACAGCTTGGAATAAGTCTCAAGTCAGAAGAGGGCAAATCTTAGCTTGGCAGGAATTCAACATTCTGGAAGTCTTTTTTGCAAAATGGTACAGACAGCTTTTTTAAAATAAAACTTCTGAAGACCCATTGAATTGGCACCTAGTACCAGGCATTGGTCTGATCTATTTCTGGTTCTCCAAATACAGAGTAAAACTTAAAATTAGACACTTCTGGTTTTAAGCTGTTAGTTTCTGCTTTGCTTTTAGATGCCTTGTGATTAGGATGGAAGGAAACGCCTCTCAGTGCTGCAGCCCTCACCACGCATCTTGTGTGGTTTTGGTTTCTGTGCGATGATTCCTAATTGTACATCAGAGAATATTCTAGGGCTAAATACAAAACTGCTCCTCATCTGAGTCCACTCTTTTTCCCTATTTTAGTGTTCTGTAATTACCACCCTAATGATAGCTTGATGGGAGGTAGATAGACAAAGCCCATTACTTCCACACATGCCATCTTTTGGAAATGTGGAACTAATTTTTTGGAGTTTGGTTTGAAACAATAGTGCTGTCGCTTGCTTGTCTAACAATACAGACCCAGGTCCCACCCTTAAAGGCCACTCTTTAAAGTAAAAAAGAAAGTTGAAAGTCATTGTTGAACGGTTGTGAAACTTGTGACTGGAAAACAGCTCTGCATCTTAACTTGTAAACGACTTTCCACCCTGTGCAGACTATTCTGAAGACCTAAAAAGCCCCAAGCTATGCCTGCACCTGCAGCTCTGGTTTGTGTTCACGGTGCTGTGGGTAACATAACCCCCCCTCAAATCCTTTTCCTAATCCCTTGCGCCATGTGGTATCTACAGCAGTTTTGGAAAGGCAACATACATCTTTAATAAGAAGCAGAATGTGTGTTAGCAGAGCTTATGCTAACAGCAAATTAGCTGTGAAGGAGCTCTTTATTACTAATCAGTACTTTTTGCCACGTTTTGAGGTAATTAGCCCTCATTGGACTTAGCATCCAGCAGATGCTTAATCATAGCTGCACAGTAATAGGAGCGAGAACTCACGAGTGAGGAAACTCGCATGCTAGAGCAGTTCTTGCCGATCCTAGTGACGAAGCAGCTGCGGGGAGCTGGGTGCATGTGATGGGCTTTCGGGAGCCGGAGCTTAGTCACTAAAATATTCACTTGTGACAGGAGTTAGAGCTCTGAACTGCCTTTGTGAATGAGGTTTGCTGCAATGAGCTGTTGTACCTGTCTGATCTGAAGATCATTCGCTTGTAGCTGCCTTCCAGGATTCAGCTTGAAGCTCCGGTGTTAGCAGAATTAGCGTTAGCCTTGCTCTCTAGATAATAGCGGTTCCTTTTTAAAGACGACTACTGCTGCTGAAATATTGTTTTCTGCATCCCATGTAGCTTCCTTGTGTTTCTGAAGTACGTGTGTTTGCAAGCATTTTTCTGTTCTGTTGAATTACTTCCTTCATCTGTATCTGAGTTTTCCTTCCTTTAGGTCATTCGAGATACCTACTATTAAGTCAGGTTTAAGGCACCTCACATCTGAAATGTAACTTGCCTAATTTGGCTGGCTCAGTGAATATTTTATTACAGGCAAAGCCTTCTTAATCCCCTGGAAGTGTTTCTCCTCCTGTCGGAAGGAGATGGAGTGAGTTGAGTGGGGCAATGAGAACCAGATCTCATCTTGAATTAATCCCAGATTCAAAGGTATTTTTGGCACTTAGGTGCCTCACTTTTCAATGAATTCAGTAGCTGGCCATAGGTCTGTCTGGAAGGTGTTGAAGTTCACTGCCTTGAAGGAATTGCTGCCTTCTGTTTTCCCACATTTTAAACAGGGATGATCAGCCCTTATCTGCATTACAGAGGATTACAGGTTTCAGTTATTTGTCAGCTACTTCTTTTCTGTTCTCTCCGTTTGCCTTGGCTGGCACGTTCAGGTCCCACAAAGTAGCTCAGAGGACTAGCAAGGACCTCCTGGGTGAGGATCCAGTCCCTGGTATCTGTCCTGTTGGGCTCATCTCGAGGTTGCAGAAGGACTTGTTGGGCTGTGTGCTGGCTTCTGCCCCTTCCTTCCCAGGAGGAGAGTTGAAGCAGTACCAAGACTGATTGTTCTCCCCTTTGCCACTGATCTCTTTGGCTTGCACCGTGCCTGGGTCTGATGGTGGGAAGCCTGCCTTTCCCTGCTAAAGCAAACAGTTTATCAGGTGCCCTCTCCCCTTTGTCCTATGCTAAGAGAGATAAGAGATGCAAACTTGCTAGCTCGTAGCTGTCAAAAGTGCCTTCGCTTCCCTCCTCCCTGGCCTCATTACTTTGAGAACTTAATTGGATGAGGGCCAAGCTCTGAGCCATAAACGGATCAGGTCCTGCAGAGGCTCAGTAGGGAACCAAAGCCCCAAGGAAGAACCCACACACCTCGTTTCCAGGCTCCTTTGAACTGGCCTCCTTTGAAGGGTGAAATCCAGCTTGAGGGCTCTGCAGAAGCCAAAGCTATACTTGAAGCGATTCCTGTGCTCGGGAAGGCTTCTTCTCTTCCTCCTGCTGGCTCAGGCTATGCCAGAGCCACGTCCTACTCTGCTTGCTCTGGAGATCAGAGTAGGCTGCTCAGAAGCTGTGCAAGCAAAAGCACCTCCTCCATGGCTGAGACCACTTTATGGTCTGAACCCCCCGCATGATTTGAAGCACTGTGTTCGCTTGGCATGGTCCAGTCTGCATGCACCCAGGAACATTTCCATGTGCATTTTTGTCCTCCTTTGAGCTGGCTGTCCTCACTGGCTTAGTCCCAGTGTACGATGCAGGATGGCTGCCTGGGAAGGACAAGTTGTCCAGGACACATAGCACATTTGCTGTACAGAGGCTATACAAAACAGGCATATAGTAGGAAGATAAGCTTGCGAACCTTCAGCCCGGTTCAGTTACAGAGGTTGTCTCTGCCCAGGCTGGACAATGAATGAGCTAAACTGGCTAAGCAGGAAATGTCAGAGTGCTGTTAACGGCAAATTCTGTTGATGAGATGATTAGTCTTCCCTGTAACCTAGGTGGATTTTACCTGTATTGACTAGTGAAAAGTTTGATGCTAACATAACACCTTTGTGTGGTGCGGTTTCAGGTGGTATGGAACAGGCTGTGTTGTAGAGGATCTTTACAGGCCAGGTTGCCAGTCGTTAAAAAAGATATTTAATAGTCGGGATTGATTTGGCTTTGTACCTTTATTTGAAGACTGTTTTTTTTGGGGGGGGTTAATTTTCATAGAGAGGAAGTTCAGGAAAACTGTGTCCGCTGGAAAAAGAAATTCACCTTTGTGTGTAAAATGAGTGCCAACCCAGCCACAGGACTCCTGGACCCCTGCATCTGCCGAGTATCTGTCCGTAAGGTGAGCATCTACCTTCTGCTTCTGGCAGGTTAGTACCACCAGTGTACTGGTGTTGGGTACTAGCTGCTTTTTGGCAGCAAGAAGAATTGCATGGACAGTGGTGGGAAGGAAAGATTGTTTGGGCCAGGATGTGACTCGAACGGAGCCTCTCTCTCCAGCGAGGGTGGGAGCGACCAGGGTGGTGGTAACCCTTGAGAGACAGAGGTTTGTGAAATCCCGAGAGCAAATTCCAGGACTGAGTAATGACTTTCCCCCTGTTTCCCCAGCACATATAATAACTGCTTTTCCTGTTTATTTTGTCTCCCATTATAGGAGCTGAAGGGCGGAAAAACCTACTCGAAGGTAAGAGCACAGAAAGGGCAGATGTGGCAGAGTGATGATGGTCTTGTCTTCTGTTAGTGCTTTATACCCATTAGAAACCAGTGGCTGCTGTGTGAAGCAATCTGGAGAGACGGTCATTAGTTCTTAGTTTAAGCCTGAGTTAAGTAATTTCCCGAAAAAATCGACTTGCTGGGACAGGATCCAGGTTGCACTGGATATGGATTTGAGAAGGGGGTTGGGAAGATGATCTGCATGTCCTCAAACTTTGGGGAAGTTCTGAGTCAGATGTGAACTCTCTGGCTTCTGGCAGTGTCTTGCTAATAAAGAAACAGACTCCAGTTCTGTTCTCCAGAACACAGCAGCCAGCTGGGGTAGGCACCTCGCTGCCTCACAAGTGCAGGCAGAAACCTACAGCAGAAATCGCTGCCTTCCAAAGCACAGGAGACAATCAGGCAAAAACCAGACGGGTCAGCAGCGATGTTAGTTTTGGTTTGCTCCCCCCAGCTTTCTTGCCTGTGCTATGGGAGAGACAATGGGCCGCCCCCTTTCTCCTCTTTGTGCTGGATCAAGAGACAATGTTGGCTTAGAAGTTGAGCTCGCACAGAGCCCGAAACCATGTTTGTTTGAAAATGAGTCACTGCTGCTAGTTTCTAATAAACAGATGTTCAGGTCACGCACGACCGTGTAAGAATTTCTTCTAAGCGATATCCTTCCTGAGACCATGGAAGCAACTGACTTTGAAAGGTGAACGGCACTCGCTCCTGTCTACTACTGTGCTGCATGGTCGAGGGCAATGTTGCTGCCCACACAGTTCCTTTTTTGTTACTAATTAGGACGTGGTCTCTAGGGCCATCAGTTTCTCTTTCACTAAATTCACACTAGGGAGGAGATTATTCCTCCATTCTGCAGAGCTGCCTGTCCAGGGAGAGCAGCCTAGCTGGAGGAAGAGACATGCCTCTGAATCAAAGTAAATGCATCAGCCTGTTCCTCCTGCAGTGTCAATCCTTAAGCTTCTGACAGTATTTGGAAATGCAGAATTACAGGAAGTGTGAAAGTATGTCTCCATGGTGGAGTTAACCTGGGCTCTTATTCAGGCCATGTTCTAACCTACTCCATTTTCACTCAGGCTCCAGTTGTGTTTAGTGGCATTTTGAAAGAGACTTAGTTGCTCCAGCCCAGAACTTGAAGACCAAATCTCAAGTATTTGTCATCTCTTGGGCTGGTATCTTGCTTGGTCTCCTGTGAAGAAGACAGATGCGTTCTCCTACGATTAAACAGAAGATGACCCGAACATTTTGGCAGCTCAGAAGCAAGAGCTGTCACACCAGACAGGGTGATTTAAGCCTTGCAGTCTTGCCCTGTGGACCAGGCAGGCCCTCATGGCAGAACTGGATGACTTGGGATTCCTAATATTTCTAGCAGAAGTCTGTGGTGTATGTCCATGCAGCTATTTTCCCATTCTAAACAATGAGTTCTCAACTTTTTAAACTATATTAATTCAGCTGAAACCTCCTTCGGTCGTGGCAGCAGATGTAGAGGAAAATGCAGCTTGTGAATGCCCTTTTTACCTGGTCCCCCTTCAACAGGGACTGAGAGTGATGGAGCTGTTTGTGCTCAAGGCAGAGTTTCCATCAACTCGTACACCTTTTGGTTTGACGTTAATGTCACTTTGGTGTCAGGGGTTATAGAGCGGAAGCCAACAGGAAGGATTGATAAAGCGGAAACTCCTTCCCTGAGCTGGAAGAAACACCGACAGCCGGCTGGAAAACTGAGGAAACTATTCTGAAAGGTTGCATCTGAAAACATCCTTTTGTTAGGGGATCCTTCCTCTATATACTGGGAGTCTGCTTCCTGAGAAGAACTTCTGACCTCAGCACACTGTATGGGTCACTGGAGGGTTCTCCCACACTCTGTCCTACAGTGTCAATCTTCTTGAAGTTAGTGCTGTGGTGGATAAAGAGAGATCTGGGTCTGGGCCATTCCTGTGCCCTGTTGTTCTGCTGGTGTGGTCCCATGTCTCCTCTGTCCTCCAGTTTTGTCACAGTGATGGATTGCAGCTCCCTCTACGGCTTTCTCCTGTCCTGTTTATCTCTAAGAGATAAAAATACACTGTTTTTTCCTTATCGGTGAATATTCAGCAAGCAGTGTAGCCCTTGGCTAGAAGAGACAGAGGAACATCTACAGCAAGGGATGGAGGAACACTTGCATGAAGGGAATTCTCAAGAAGGGAGAAAAGAGGGAGAAAAGTTAGGTTATTTTTTTCCTTTTTTTTCTGAAGAAAGGTTCCTGCTCTATCCAACTTCTTTTTCTCCTTTTCCATCAGCTCTTGTTCCCCTTTGAGAATGGGATAGAGGAAGCAGCTGTGCTAATCTTGCTGCTGTCTTTCCCCAAATCATCTATCTTGTGCAAACTGTGGTTTAGACTTTTGATTTGGAGCAGTGGGAGCCAGGGTTGTTACGGCAGTGGCTGTGGTTTGTGCTGTGACTCCCTATCCACTTCCACAGTTGACAGAGCACCACATTGCCTTAGGATGGTGCTACTGTTTGGGGCTCCCGGTTCAGTTGTATCATCCAGCTGTCAACACCAGGGCAGGAGAAACGTACTGCAGTGCACAGAATAACAGCTAGGTCTGAGCTGCTGCTTCTCCACCTTCTCTAGTGTTCTCGTGGAAGCTGGCGTGTATGTTGGAGTGACGCAGACTTTCCATGCTTGGACCATTTGGCTCAATATGGGGTATGGTATCCCTTCCTGATCAGATTAGATGAGACACGACTTCTATTGCTTAAGCTCTGTGTAAAAGAAGCTGTAACTTTTTCTTTGAAACACTGTGTTAACACACCAGGAATTAGAGCAGAAAAACAAAAATACTCATCATTGTGTTTGTCTTTAGTCTAGAGGCATTGGTACCCTCTTTGAATTTGCCTATGATCTTTACCTTTCTGTCACCTTCTCTATTTGCTTCCCTTTTGTTAAAGAAGGTTTAAAGAGCTCACAACAAAATCTCTCCAAATATTTCTCTTCCCTTCTGCCTGTCAAACATACCGCTTGCTAGGTGAATCTTAACCGTGTTGAGGAAACTTTGCTCCAGGAGTCCCCCAGCCCAGCAGCTGCATTTGTCGGGGTGAGACATAGGCAGTTCTACGTGGCTCTGGACTTCCAGCTTGCTGTGCTGAAAGTCTCAGCTTTGTTTTTCAGGACAGTCTCACTTTCCTCTGTAACAATATCCTTTCATCTCCTGGTTCACATGCTCCACTGCATTCTGGGATGGCCTGACACAGAGTGCCTTATTATGTTTGTGTATGTGCGATTCTGTTTTTTCCACATCGTTGACCTAGTGCCCTCCATGTCCTTCATTATGCAATGGCTGTGGGCTGGTTAACGCCGTCCTGGCCAGCACCACTCCTGTCCATCTTTCCTCCATGCGGGGCTGGCTTCCTGAAGGCCTCTGAGTGTCCACCTGGCTTGGGATTAGGAACGTGAGCCTGCCAACCCTCGAGAGGAGGGGGTCTTCCACACACAGCTATGACTCTGTGTGTACCGGCTCCTGTTTCTGCCCTTGCTCACAAATGCGCTCTCTTCCTTTAGTCTGTGTGACACCATGTATCCCTTATTGAGTAATTTTTGTTCTCTCCCCTTCCCCTCCATTGTTTTCTTGGCTACAGCTGGGCTTTGCTGATCTAAATCTGGCAGAATTTGCAGGCTCTGGATCCACTGTCCGTTGCTGCTTGCTGGAAGGATATGATACTAAGAACACCCGACAGGACAACTCCATCCTAAAGGTACAGCAGCTAGTACTGCCACAGTGGAAAGCCTACTATTGAATTCAAAAAGATCACAGCCAGAGTGCACTGCCAAGCCTCAGAGAAGGTCCTGTTATGTACAGAGAAAGGATCTTGCTTTTATGCTGTTTGTCTGACTTGGGAGACTTCCCGTTATCAGATTTGCCCTTTGATATCTTGGTATCCATTTGGCCGAGCGATGACCCTTGGTACCCATCAAAGAAACCATGAACAGGAGGGTGAAAAAAAAGTTCCAAGTGTGTTGTCAGGGTAGGCCAGGCTGGTGTACTGCTGAGCCACTGCAACTTGGAGTTACTGATGGCAGTGATTTGGGGCAGGGAGGGAAATACCTTGCTAAATCCCTGAAGCTGATTTCCTTTGGAAAGGAACTAGGTCTTGCTAATCTTTACACCTGGCCCTTGACCTCCTGACTGCTGTGAAGCGAGGAGCTCACCACAGCATGGCTAACGATGTGCTTTGTCCCCCCTCTTCAGGTCACGATCGGAATGTCCCTGCTCTCGGGGGACCCCTGCTTCAAAACGTGAGTTTCTGGGTGCGCGCCCCATTCTGCGCAGACCAGGACACCTGGTTCTTTTGCAGTTCTCTGCTGGAGACTAAAATTGATGGGGAGGTGGGAAAAAGATGCCCTTGATATTGAGAAGTACAGGGGAAAGCTTGAAACTGGTGGTCTGGATTGTTGACTCAGCCAGAACAGCATAGCCGGCCTGTGCTGTTATCTGGTTTGTTCTCTGCTCTGGTTTTCCCAGCTTGGTTATTGGTTGTGCACAGTATTATCTCTGCTAGAGTCAGTTAGGTTTTGGAAACCAATGGACATTGATGAAAAACTTCATGTTTTGCGTGAAGGATAGAATTTCTCATAGCTCTGGGGTTGGTTTCACTGACCTCCGAGAAGGGAAAGGTCAATGAAGAAAATGGTCTTGGAAATGGACGCACTTCAGGACATATCACTCACAATAAAGGTCTTGAATTGAATCAGCAACAAAAATACTGCAAGGCTGAAACGTTTTAATTCTCCTTTTTTTTTTCTACACAGACCCGGGTTCACAATTTGTATTAATTAGCAGAGAAATTGCAATAGTGTATTCTTTAAGGCATCGTGATAGGAAAGAATAAGTACCGTTAAGCTATGAAGCAGTTTTATTGCGTAAAGAATTGTCGGGGGATCAACTAACAAATATACTGGCAGCACCTACCTTCATACCACGTTGGAAGACTCTGCAGTCCAAGGCAGCCTGCCATAGTGTGCTGTAAGGTGTGTGACTATACACGGCAGGACTGCCACGTGCTGACAGAAATATTTTGTGTTGACTCCCAACAGTATGAGAGAAGAAAGCTTTACCTTGTGGGCATCTCTTGTAGCAGTGGTATTCTGGGCTAAAAGGTTTAATTTTAGGAGCTAGCTTGAAGTGTATAAATTAGCTTGCATTCCTGTTACAAAATGTTGCATGATTTTTGGTAGGTTTATTTTGTGAATGGCTTTCCATAGTGCTACAGGATTTTCTGAGACTTTCAAACCCTAAATGCAGTGTCATCTGATTCTGAAAAATTTCTGTTTCAGAGGGAAGTGTGATAAAGAAGTTTTGGATATCTTAAACCATGACTTTATAACAGTAACAGATGTTTTAAATCTAGGGTACTAGGATGTCCAGCAATAATGTGTCTGACAAAAATACCTGTTGCTCCTTCACTCTGGAAGCAAGTCCCACTGTTAGAGTGCCTGAAAGTGATACAGAATTGGATATAAATATCCATTTAATATAAGTAGGGTCAGTCTGAAAGTTAAACCTCCTAATTTTCTTAAAGGATTTTTGCAGTCATTCGCATTTTTTCCTTACATGTTGACAATGTGCAAATGTCTAAAAATGGAAGCTTTGCATGTAGAATAGTCCTTGATCAGTAGAGCTTTTGATAAATGGCACTCATTAGAGGATTAGGCAGGAATTAAACTGTGCTGGGAAATCACTTCCAAGCACTGACTTTCTGCAGCGCTCAGATGAGCCTTCTCCTCCTGGGTGTCATAGAGGCGGGCAGAGCAGCCTGAGCCAACAGACCCACGGGCTGCTCTGACAGCTGCTGCAGGAATAGTTTGCTTGATTAAGGCTGTAAATGCGTTATTAACCTGCACAGCAAAGTCCCCAGAGTACCCGGGTGCATGTAAATCACCGATAACGTGATTAGGGAGGGTTTTTTCCTAGCGAAGGCATGCTGTGGGTTTCCTGAAACCTTTACAGCTGTTTGGCTGCCTATATAAAATATTCTCGGTGCTTTATTCTTTCTCCGAAAGTACTGTAAAGCTCCTGTCATTTGGAGCTCTGAGGGAAGATGCTACATGAGACCAATAAAAGTTTTTCTTTCTCACTCTTTGCTTAAAAAGCATAAGATGATCTGTTAGTTCCAGTTCAGAGTTCAGGCTATAGGGAGGTTAGAGCTCCAACAGGAATGTTCACTTTGCCACGCTGCATGTGCCGTGGCTTCCACCCAAAAACCCTTCTGGAGGAAGGGAGGGGACTCCAGGCACTTGCAGCTCTGCCCTGCAGTCAGCATTTACAAAGGGATGTTGGGAGCACGTAGAATAACCAGAGAAATAATTTTGACAGCTGGAAAAACACTTTAGTGTTGCTGAAAAGGAGTTTAATTGTCAGTTAAAAAATGGAAAGGTTATTTGATCATTGTAAAAGTCTATCATAGGGGGTAGGGGTTGCTAGGATAAAAAGGGCTCGTTTGACCTGAGTCGGAAAGGTGTAACGAAAGGGTGCTGGAATTGAGAGCTGAACAACAGCAAACTGATTCCTGTTTGCAAAGCCATCTGGCCACTGGACACGTGTTGGGGGAAAAGGGCAGTTCTGGATGGTCTTCTGGAGGACAGTGCAGGCTCTGAGCTTGTTGTCCTGTATAAATGATTGAATGGTCTCTTTTTGCCTTAATTTACCTCAGAAACTTGCTTTTTCTTGTAATGAAGTCCAGATGCAGTACAAGGTAGAGAAGACCTGAGTCTTGCATGTAGAAAAACAAAATCCGATGTCACGCTGTGCCGCTAGTCACAGAGGGCTGCCAGCTTTCCCCCACCATGAAGGGTGGGGGAGACAGGAGAACCCTTCTTGACAGAGCAGAGTGGGAATTGCTGGTGCAGTGGGGTGATTCCCAGTCCCTGCCTGACAGTTTGTAATATTCTTCGCTTCTGATTACAGGCCTCCTTCCACCGCCAAATCCATCACCATACCGGGACAGGACTCTACTTTGCAGCTGACCTGTAAGGGTGAGGGAACCACAAGCAGCAGCAGCAGCAGTTCAGCCACGATTGGCTCTCTGCGTCAGACCAAGCCAAGAACTGCCATTCTCAGCTCAGGTATGAATGCCCGTCCTGGAGCCGTGCAATGCTTGGCTGTGCCTGGATGCTGGTTTGTTTTTCCCAGCAGTTGTAAGCACAGATAGTCTTTAATTTTTCATGTTTTTCCACACCCATCCTCACCCCTCTGTTCATTAAGAAAAGTGAGAAAAACAAAACCATCTATTAAGCGTAACTGAGGAGAGGAAGGATAAATCTTTGCCACATGCATATTTCTGTTAGTGGAGATAAAGCAATTTGTTCTCTTTGCTGGGGATTTAATAATTCATGCATTGCAGTCATCCCTGCTTTCTACTGTGTTCAATGACACTTAACATTGTTCTCCACTCAGGTATTCTGTTGCTCAGACTTAGCTTCTAGAAAAGTTCCTCTGAAGGTTTTAGAGGTTGGTTTGAGGTCTAATGGCCTTGTTCCAGCTGCTGATGTGGATTTCTTTGGCTTCTGTATAAGCCCGTTTTCAAGGGCACTGCATTTTCCCATAGCTTTTTTTCTTTCCCAGCACATTCCAAATGTGCAGGCAGATACACTGCACCAAAATAGCGCTGTAGTCTCATCACCTCAGTGACTTAGCACACTGTACAAGTGCTCTTAAAAAGCTGGCTAATGTGTTACACTTGTGCACTTTTGGATAAGCTTCCTGCAAGGGACACAAGCAGGGGCAATAGCAAAGGAGCAGAGCTTATGCTGAGGTTTCTGCATCAAATCCGGATGTGATTTAAAGGGCATGGGCTGTCTCACAAGTAATAGAGAAGGGGAAAGGTAGTAACAGGAGAAGCACCCAAATGGAGATTTTAATACTTTACTGCCAATGACCATTTGATGCTTTCTTGGTCTTAGCTTAATGCTTTTAACCATGGAGAGCTTCAGACACCACCTCTCATTCTAGATCCTTCAGGCCCCAAGAGGTGCTTGTAAATTTGGGCGCTGGATGCTAGAATTAGTGATAAACTTGACAGAGAAGCTCATTATTGTCTTCTCTACTCCCCAGCTGCTTCTAAGTTCTGTGCTAGCCTGTACAGCAGGGCTCTGCCAACAGACTTGCCCTTTCCTTGATCTAGTGTCCCAAGATCACCCTCAAGTCCAAGGTGATCAGCGGGCAATCTGCTGGCTTGGTCACGGTGTAAGTGGAGTGCCCTGTTGTTCCTTGGCAGGTGTCGCAGAAGAACCGGATCAGAACCTGTCCAGCCCAGAGGAAGTCTTCCACTCAGGGCACTCACGGAACTCCAGCTACGCCAGCCAGCAGTCCAAGATCTCCGGTAACCATTGATCCGCACTGCTCGGCCAGCACTGGCCCCATCCATTTTCTTTCCTGGAGTGAGCTCTTGTGAGAGTGATTTGCAGCCATCTCTCTTGCCCTGCTCTGTAATATCAGTCTCCTGTTTAGTCTCTGCACATGAGCTCATAGATGTAGGTCTAAACCTCTGTATATGGGAGCAGAAATGCTGGTCTGAAGCTGCCCTGCCTGTTAACTGTATTGCCAGGAAGGGGAGAAGATCTGGTTTGCAATCACTCTGTGTTTGCAGGTTACAGCACGGAGCATTCCCGTTCTTCTAGTATGTCTGACTTGACCCATCGCCGGAATACCTCCACCAGCAGCAGTGCGTCTGGAGGGCTGAGTATGACGGTGGAGTGTCCTGAGGGAGAGCGGGACCACAAACTAGAGAAGCCACCTCGCCCCCCCAGACCAGCTCTCCTGCTGGATAGACCCTCCCGGTAAGTAACTGCGGAGCAAAGCCCCTTCTCTGGGAAGGCGAGACAGAATCTACTCCTTTGTCTTCATGCAGTGGTAGATTGGATTGAAGCTACTGAGAATGAGGCTATTGCCAAGAGAAGCAGGATAGTGTATGAAAGTCTGTGTCTTTAAAAGCTGGGTCAGTTTTTCCTTTATTTTCTCTGTCCAGGAGGAAAAAGGATTCAGTGGAGAGTCACCCAACCCGAGTGGATGACACTAGGATCGATGCTGATGATATAGTGGAGAAAATAATGCAGAGTCAGGACTTTACAGATGTCAGCAATACTGAAGGTGAGAGGAAGAATCTCAAAGGGGATGTCTGGGCTGTTCCTTTAGCAAGGCTGCCAAGCTTTTACAGTCGGATCTGATCTGCCATGGACTCCCTTCCCCTTTTGACAGCAATTTGCTTTCAGTGCTTGCTAGGTGTTTCTGTGGTAGATGAACAAACCATGTGGATTTGAGAGCTGCACATCCATTGGCAGATAGCGTTTGCTGCTATTCTACACACTACAGCAAAAGTTGAACAGTAGCTCAAACATACAGAGTGAGAGAGGAAAAATACTGATTCTTCAGTGCAGTGGAAATCAGTTGTTATCAGCTGTCTGTGCTGCTCTCATGGCCTTCCTCTAGGGTCAGCCCAAGGGTATGTATTAAAGTAGGAGAGCACAGCTGGAGGGGGAACAGCACATCTCTGCCAAAAGATGGGAAGAAAGATGGGTCACAGTGTGCTGGTGAGCAGGTCCATCTAAGAGCCTCAGAAGGGGTTTTCTCCATTGGAGTCACAGCATCTGTTAAGAGAAGACTAATAATATCACTGCATTTGTTTTAATTTCCCAGTTTAGCCTAGAAATCAATCTTTTTCATCTAGTTGAGGGTTTTTGGTAAGTTTTAACTTCGAGCCTAGCTTGTTATTCATGCTTCTATAGTTTAGCATTAGTCACCTTGTATCATTGCACATAGCAACACTCTTATCATGTGGGGATTTACACCTCACTCAGCATGGGTTAAAAACTGGGCTGAATGTAGCCACTTCTCACCAGCAGAACAGGCCGAGTTTCTCCTCCAGTGAGCCTACAAAAGCAGCGTGAGGCCCCACATCTCATCTGTTCAGATGTATTTAAGCTGACCAAGAACTTGAATCAATGGGATTACCTTAAAAGAAGCAGCTGGAGGAGTATCACTGAAATAATTTCTTTGCATTTACTCTTCCAAAGCTTAATGCTGTGGTTGATTTGTGCATGAGGCTCTCTTTCAGAGCAAGAAGATGAGTTCCCAGGGGCTCTATTACTGTGGGAACAGCGGAAAGCATGCACGTGCATTCACAGAAACACACT